TTTCTTCTAGTCAAGATAATAATTTAAACAAGTGCTAAATCCAATTGGCTTTATAAATGTCGTAATTTATAGAAGTGGAAGAATTGAATGGCACTGATTCTAGGCTCTGCTTGACAACATAGATATGCGGATAACTACAAAAGGAAATTTGCAGAGCAGGTAGGAATTTAGATCAAATCCTTTGTTAATTGCAGAGTATGCTAAAGGAGTATATATATCATGTATAAAATTCGGAATATTTCCCAAATTCGTAGGAGTTTAACGCGCTCAAAAGGCGAAGCAAAATGAAAATTGGGCAGAAATGCAGCTGCATTGTGACGGTTTGATGTTTTCACAACATTGTACTTTTGTTTCCATTTAATAATAGTGTTAGAAAATCACGTATGTGTGTGAAATTGAGACTTTAAATGCCTAGCTTGAAGAAACTAAAACTATAATAAATAAATTGATTCAGCAAATAAATTAATTAGCCAATCTCTGTTGGGTTGTCTGATAGAGATCCGCGATGGTTGACGGCGAAGCTGTGTCCGATGGGTCAACGAATAGGTGGAGGAACTGAATCGGCAATGACGGCTTGGTGATCTGCGGTCACAATTCCAGTGATGGGTGTGCAAGGAGGAGATCGGCGAGCAAGGTTCTAAACCGGCGACGGTGAGCAAGAAAGATGGATCTGAAGTCTGAACTGCGGGACTGGGTTTTGTTGGTGGTTTTCGTTGAGGAGGTCTCTCTTTTCTCCTCCATCAGTGCAGGTGTAGAGAGAGAAGCTTTGGACGTTTGGCACCGAAAGCTTGTGAACAGAGAGTCTCCATGCCTTGAGCAAGACCGGAGAGGAAAAAATAGCCGGTGATGTTGGCGAAAGTGATAGTGAGAAAGCCGGCGGCGAGTTCGGTAGAGATGCATAAATTGTTCACGAGCTAGATTAGTTCAATTTATTAACTTGTACGGTTAAAGGGTAATTTGGTTATTTTTTATGCCAATTGGTTGCATGGGTGCCGTCGTTCATTTTTTAATCTTCAAAGGTGTTATTGTCCGATAAATTTCATTTATGTGTAGTGTTAGCAAACCTCAGGTTGTTACTTATTTTACCCAATAAAAAATTAACTAGAAGACGGTATAAAAAAAACGGAAACCTCACGGCGAAGCCAAATCGAGCTACGGCTCCAGCGCCGTGAGAGAGATTGAGATCCAACGGCGACGAATCAACCATCAGCGCCGGCGAAAACCCGAACGACTCCACGGTACTACTCTGATTACAACTACTCTTCTTCACACTCACCATCACATTTATCTTCTCACCACCACCGTTGTTAACGTTCCTCACACTCACTTCCTCTAGCACCGGGAAATTAGTCCTGGCTTTGTTGCCGCGAAACTCCCTCGCGGCGGCTTCGTACGCCCTCGCCGCCTCCTCCGCCGTGTCGAACGTCCCCAACCACACACGGCTTCTACCCCGGATCTCGAATCTCGGCGGCGCCGTACACCCCTGAAATGCACCTCCTTCGCGTTGCCGTTAAATTTGTCTTTAAATTTTTTTTATAAAAAAATTATTATTATTATTTTTAATTTTTAATTTTTTTTTTCGAAAGGTTTTAATTTTTTTATTTTATTATTATTTTTTTTAATTATTTAAAATTATTTTTAATTATTCTTTAATTTTTTAAAATTTTTAAAAAAAAATGTTAATTATTTATTTTTTTTAGAATAAATTTTTAGAGAGGGGATGGATGAGAGACAAATATAGAAAGAGATGATTGTGAGTGAGAGAATTTTAGAGAGAGAAATGAATTAAGTGCAATATAGAATAGTTCAGCGCTGAATGCAGAAGACGGTAAGTGATTTTTAAAAATAAGCGAGTTTGATAAAATTTTAGAACGCCACTTAATATGGTAATTATCGCTTTAAAGAGGTCAAAATTTTAAGTGTGGGAAAGGTTGCTTATAGCTTATCGCAGAACACGATAACTGATTGGGTTTAAAAAATAAATTTTTAATGACTACTCTTTTAGGGTGGTATCTATCTATTTCTCTAGGGCCTCTCTACAATTTCTTTAAACTCCTCCCTGCGTCTGAAAATAAGGTGAGTTATTTCCTTTGAAAAACTCTTTTATATATATTTCGTTAGTTGTATTTTATTATTAGTTTTTGTTACTTTTACATGATTAAACAAATCCGTGAAAAATATTTTACCTATAATATTTTAAACAGACAAATAGCCTTTTGGTTATATTTAAATTGATTCATATATATTTAATTGCTTGTTGTTGCTAATGAAAATGAATTACATAGAACAAATTCCAAAAAAATAAAAAACATAATTCTACCTAATATATTTTAAATTATTACCATTCATATTGATTCACTTTATATAGAAAATAATTATTTATATAAAAATTTTATTCAATTTCACGTACTTTCTTTAATTTTGTTAACACAATTTTTATACCCTATATAAATATTATGTAATTATTTATATTTTAAACTGTTACCATTCATATTCATATTGATTCACGATATATAGAAAATAATTATTTATATAACAAAATTCTATTCAATTTCACGTATTTTGTTTAATATTGTTAACACCATTTTTATACCCTACATAAATATTATGTAATTATTTATATAATAGAATTTTATTCTCAGAGAAGAATTGTGTTTCAAATATAACATAATTACTTTCTTTAATATTTACTTATCATACACTTTATTAACCATTTTAAAAATATTACATTGTAGATAAATATTATTTGTGTGATGCTGCATACACACCCACCCGAAAATTTATGGTACCTTATCGTAATGTACGATATTGGTTAGCCGACTTTCGAAATGGTGGCTGTCCTAGAACAAAAGAAGAGCTATTTAACCATGCACATGCCAAGCTAAGGAATGTGATTGAACGAACATTTGGAGTATTAAAGGCCCGTTTTCTAATCTTGAAAAGGATGGCACCTTCTACATTTGAAGTACAAAGGAATATTGTTATTGCTTGTGCAGCTATTCACAATTACCTTCGAAAAACTATCACCACGGATGAACTTTTTGAACAGTATGAGACTGAGGATTTGCAATTTGAGACTCCACCTAATATTGCTGAAAATTTGACATCCTCTGAAATTCACACCACAGAAAGGCAATCCGATCAAGTGTTTATGGTTAATTTGTATAACCAAATTGCAAATGACTTGTTTAGTTCTCGAGTTTAAAATTTTATATGTTTAGTTTAATGTAATATTTTTAAGGCATTCACATTTTTAATGAGTATTGCTTGAATAATGTTAATTATTTAAGTTTGAATTTATATTTTTTTATGATTATATTTGACATTAATATTCATTATTAAATTGATATATTTCATTGAGTGAATGTGGTTGTTTTATTAATATTTTTATATTATAAATATAAAACTGTTATGAGTATCAGATATTAAAGACAAAAATGTAATATGTACAACTTTCAGACTTCAACTTTTGTATATAACAAACAATCTTAATGAATTCAGCTCTTAAAATTAAAACGTGCACCTAGATGTGTGTTGCGTGTTTATCATGTGATAGGTGAAATATGAGTTGAATATGGTTAACCATATATAACCCATCTTGACCTTCAAATTAAGTGATTGAAAATTACCCAACCCATCTTGACACTCAAACTAAATATGATTCACCCATAACCATTAAAAAGTGAGCGAATATGAGCGGATTGATGATTTCTGGCTCATTTTACCACCCCTAGTTATATGGCTATTAAATTAAAATTTTCTTTAGAGTGAGTTTGAGAATTTATGGGGCTTTTGAAAGATTTTAGATATGGGCCAATCATTTTAGAAAAGGTATCAGTTGACCCCAGGCCAAGTCCACAGAGTATTCTAATGGCCCCAACTCTAAGCCCGTAAAATATTTCAACTAGGGCCCTTTAATCCGGTTGAAAAAATTAAAGCCCAAATTTGAACAGATATATAAAGCCCATTATATTGGAAAAGCAAACACACATTTTCATATCCACAATTATGTCCCTAGTGGGACATGAACTAGAGATCAAACTATCTGCACTAGAGGTTTTACGGTACTTTTATTATAAATTATACACCACATACGTTGTATAAGATCGAGATTAAAAATGAAATGAGTATAAATGAATTGATATGCAACACTACTCAATAACTTAGATTTTTAAGTTAAAGGGCAAGCATCTAACTTCTTACATTAAGACACCATATATGTAGTTCAGCTTCCCAAACAAAAGCCTCCCCCTAGTAATGTAGATATATGTAGAGAATTTATCTAACTATGGTTCGCCGTATCGGTCGATATGCAACGTATTAATTGGTTCGTAACCCTTTTTCAAGGGTCCAATACCATTACACATTTCTATAAAAAGGTCCGTTTAACAGATTTACATCGATATTTTCTCGAGTTTGTTATACCGTGATTGCAAATCATGTCGCTTACATGCACAAACATATAAAGAAAAAAAGTTAAATTAAGAGCTTAATAAAAAATATCTTTGTGAATTTTTATTTTTTATTTTTTTTCCCCTCTAATTTCAACTTGAATATATCAATTTTATGTTATCAAACATAGTTTGAGAGATTCTGTAAGACTTGAAATCTCTGTTGACATCCTATATGATATTGAAATCATACATTTGTCATTTTCATTCAATCTAGGTGGAGAGATCTCATTGGTGATGGTTGGACAAATAGATCAGTGGCACAATAGCATAACACATGGATAAGATAGCATTATATAATGATAATACACATACACAATTGGACAAATAGATTAGTGGCACGTGGATAATATATATATATATATATATATAAAACATTATATAATGATAATATACAATCACAAGATGAGGGATTATATCACAAGTTAGAGACTTTATAATTTAATGCTAATATAATTTGAACCCCTTAGTCAGAAGCATGTTCAATTACATACTTTCCATATTACCGCTACAATTCCTCATCGTTTATAGGTTAGTTCAAGTTAGGTGTCACATGTCTGCTCACATCTGTCTCTTATTATTGTTATTATTATTATTATTATTTTATCTCTCACATCATATCAATCTAACATTCAAAAGCATGGCCGGCGCTTCAGCCACCAAATCTCTATCTCTCTTTCTTTCTTTCTTTTTGGTCTTGCAATTTTTGCAATGGTGACTGCCAATGAGATCAACCCATGTTTAGTCTCTCTCTCTACACTGACAAAAAAAACACACACACACACACACTAAATTTTAACTTGGGTAGTTGGGTATGTGAAAGAAGACTATATATATATTTGTTTATATATATTTGTGTGTGTGTGTGTGTGTATACGAATGTTTCAGATTATTGTAAAAGGTAGATAATATATTGCAGATTTTGAGGAAAACGAGGATGAGGTGCAGCAGGGGTTGCTTATACAGCTCAATGAGGATACTGAATCTGATAATCAATTTGTGTGGGATTTTGATGATCATATACTCCCTTTGGCTGCTAAAGAAGTGGGATGAAGGTGTCACTCAGTTGCCTTTTTCAGCTTCTATTCCAAGGCCATGGTGGATTTTCTCTCTCCTCTTCTCAGTATTAGTTTATTATTTACAGATTAAATATGAATTTATGTGGATCGATCCTTTCCAACTTCTGTTGCTATTTAACTAACCTTAAATGATTCATGTCTGTGCTTGTATTATTATATATTCTTGGAGGCCTAATTTTAATTACTTGAAGTAGATCCTCTCTCTCTCTCTCTATATATATATATATACACACACACACACACCCATTTCAATTGTTAGTTTCATTTGTGTTTATGGGCACTTGAACCCTTGGCCTTATATTTAAAAAGGTGACAAAATATTATTATTATGCTACAATCTTGGTGATATTTGTGTTGTAACTGTATTTGTTCCATGTATTTTTATTTTATTTTTATATAAACAAAACTTGTTTATATAGAATTTTTTTGTTTGTTTGTTTATGTTTTTCACTTCTAGTTGGATTTTGAGGCTTTAATGAGAAAGAAGGAAGGTGAATAGAAATGAGGAGAAAAACTTTATATTGTCATTTTTTCACACACACACAAACACACCAAACACATTAACATCATTATTCTCTGCTATTCTTACACTGCTCTGTTTATATAATACTGATATATATATTTAGCATTATATGATACTGATTCAATCAAGCCATTTGCCCCTATATTTGATGATACAGCTTTGAACTTGCAATTTTATTTCTATTAACCAGTATCTCTTCATAGGGTTGTTCTTGCTTTGTGCCTGAAATGAAAATATAGTACATATTGAATAACATAGAATAATAGTACAATGGTCCCAAAATCATGTGAATTCATTAAAACTCTTATATGACCATAGTTACAATGTCACACTCTCTATTGTTTTTTATTTAAGTTGGTGCAGTGACAACTAAACCACCCTTGGTATCCAATTCCGGAAGGTAAATTATCATTGGACCGAATTTTCAAACCTATTTCTCAACCCAAGGTTTCTATCCCTTTGGCGTAGTGAAAGAGACCCGCGTCTGTGTTTTATTCATTACATCAGATTAATAGAAATCCGTTCGCTACACAAATAGGTTAGAGTAATCGGCCTAAATAGCATTTACTCATTCTGAAATATGGATGTCTCTCTAGGCCATCCTTGGATTGTTGAGTTTGGTTAAATGACTTTTATTTTTGGTTCAAATGTCTGAATTTTTCAACCATAAGTGTTTGGTTCGGGGGAAAATTTCATCTGGAATGTTTAAGGCCATGTTCTTGCTTTCTGCCTGAAGTGAAAAATAGTACAATGGTCTTTCAATGAAGTTCTTCTATAAGTTACACAGACACATAGATATATTATGACCAAAATAGCAGAGAGATTACAAATACATGCATGATGTTCTATGTGCATAATCAAAATTTTTATTTCATTATATGTTAATGTTGCATGGAAAATCAAATTGATGTCGTTTCTCGTAATCAACAGGTTCATCAGCACATGTTTAGTCGTCGGAATTGTTGTCTGTTTGAGCACTCTTTCGGGCCACATGGTTGCAAACTGCATCAGCAATTATACTCTTGCCATAGTATCCTTCCCATTGAGTTTATATCTATCTATCTATCTACCTTTGTATCTCATACCAAATTTTTTTTTTTTCTTTCTCGAAAACACTTGAAACTTTAAGGCTCCGTTTGTTTTATATTGAAAAAATAGAAATTCCAATATTGAATGTTAATTATTTAGTCATTCATTAAGTTATTCTTAACCAGTTTTCCAAGTATATTATTTCCATCTTTTCACTTCTGTTAATCCAAGCTGGGGTTATTGTCACAATTTTCTTTAGGATGGACTGGGAGTCAGTATGTTTTCTCATACCCTTTACATAAAGGTGCGTTTGGTTGCAACACTAGAAAAGAATCACTTCACTATTAATTTCTATTATATAGTATAAGTTTTTTTTTTTTTTTTTTAGTTCATAGACTAAACAGCTTTTTGAGGAGAATTTTTTCAAAAATAAGTATTCTTTCCTCTAGTTGCTTCCAAATGCAGAGTCTTTTATTTTTATCCTTCTTGTACATGAATTTGTATTCTCTCATTAAGGTTTCGATCTCTATTTCTCTGTATTTTCTCGTGACAGGAAATCATCAAATACATTGATGAGAATCACGAATCATTCAAGAGCTTCATTCTCTTCCACCTAGTCATGTGTCGCTTGATTGCAATTTTAGTTTTCGTGGCTCAGGTACATTTCTGTATTATTTACTTGCATTGATCACATATTAAATGGAGGTTCGGATTAGAAATTCAGTCTTAATCTCTTATCAATAAAAATCATATTCATATGTTAATTAATAGTTAATCATATTCATATTAGAGGGAAGTTTGGATTAAATATGCTTGTCATGTTGCAAGATAGAGTGACTGAAAGCGAAATTTTTGGTGTAAAATGATTTTTGTGGCAATGTAGGTTTGGATCAAAAAATGCTTGTCATGTTGCAAGATAGACTGCAAGCGAAATTTTTGCTGGAAAATGATTTTCGTGGCAATGTAGCTAGGGAAGTTTGGATTTAAAAATGCTTGTCATGTCGCAAGATAGAGTGACTGAAAGCGAAATTTTTGTTCTGGAAAATGATTTTTGTGGCAATGTATAAAAGTTTTTTTTGTTTTGTCTTGTCACTCTTGTAGTCTTGTTGTGAATAAACTGATACGTGTGATGCTAAATTTTCAGGTGAAAGCTATCGTGTTTGCTGTTATTCTTTGGTTTTTAGGATGTGAGCCTCGGATTCACTGTCGTATGTCGGAACCACTCGATTTTCAACAATCTTTTCTGGTGGTTGATTCTGAAAAACGTGATGTAGGTTTGAAGTTCAAATGGAGGGAATAATAAAACCTTTCTGTTAATCAAAATAAATTTGCAGCAATAGGGTTGAGGTTATTATTATTATTATTTTTTTCCTTAATGAAATACTAACCTATATACTATGATAACCTAGCTACTAAGTAGTGTGAAATCTTAAAAATAAAAAACAAAACAAAACAAAAACAAAAACAAAACTAACTAATAAGAATCTTAAGTAACAAATTTATGAACTGAATCGATGCTCTAGGCAGGGGATATATGTTGGTTAGTTAATTGATCACATATTAATATATCATTCATGAAATGGGTTGGATTTGTTTTAGTTTGGATACGAAATCGTTCTATTGGATCAAATGTACTTATTCGATTCAATGTAATAAGTAGAATTGGGTCGGATTATGATTGCTCAGATTAAGATATATAGGATTGCAGTTCTGTTTTTTAATTTTTTTTTCCAGGCTAATACTCACACATACCCCTCAAGGAATTGTTTATACGCAGCGAATTCGAATTGTAACTCCATTTTGTATGTTTGGAAAATGTGAATTGAACAGAGGAGAGTATGACAATGGAAATTCATATGTAGTTAATTATTATTTTTTAATTTAATTTTATTTGATATTTACACATTTTTAGCCAGTAGTTTCTTTTCTTAGCGCCATTTCATTTCTAACCATTCAAAGCAGTTGGTGAATAAACAATTCCTAGATACTACACCACTAGCTGCATAATATATAATATAATTTTATCTCTAAAAGTGGGAGTTGCTGAATTGGTGATTCAATAATTGAATCTCAGGTCTTGTATAATATATATTTTCTCTGTTTTATAAAAACAATGTTATGTTTGAAAAATCGTAACACTTTTTATAAAGTTGAGGGAGTATTAATTTAGCAATATCTGGATGGAATCCAATATACTTTATCCTATCCTAGAAAAGAAATGGATGAAGTAGGGACAATTATTTTGGCCGAGGTGGGTCCAGGAACATGTTGAGTGCGGTGGTTGAAGGGTCAAGAAATATTGGTAGGTCGCAGTTCACCTCATGTGGTGGCAGGCACATGTTAAAGTTTTTTTTATGTCAATTTGATAGTATTAAAGAGAGTTTTTTACTTTTTTTTCTTAAAAAAATAAGAGAAAATGGTAAGTGGATGGAAGACGGAAAGTGACGTGGGGTAACTCTATCATTTGACTTTTATTGATTAATTTAAATACTGAAATGACCTATCTAACCTCATACACATAACAATTTCTTTTCTTCTCCTCCCTCTATTTTCTCTTCCTCAGCCCCCAACACCAACACACACTGTCACACATATACACAAATACTGTCACATAAATGATGCATTCATACTTATTTAATAAATAATACATCAATTACTTGATATTTTTTTCGCTACTACTACAATAAAAAAAAAAAAATTAAAACTCATTCTCTTAAAAAATTATATTCTCTAAAAGAACGTTTAATTTAAAACCGATAGAGTTTAAATTTTTAGTTATATAACTTGTGTGAAAAATATTATATGTAATTCTTATGATACTGCTTTATTGAGGTACAAAATTTTCTCTTGACATTATTTTACATGAGTAGAAAAGAAACCCACCAAAAATATTTATAAAAAAAATAATGTTTGCTCTAACTTTTTTTTTTTTTTGTTTTTTTTTTTTTTTTCGCTCTAACTTCGATGTTCTAATTTAGGTCAAATTTCATTATGTCAAATTTTTTTTTTTTTTTTTTTTTAAAGCAACATTATGTCAAATGATTCTACAATAATTAAGTACGATTTTGTACCGTGTGAATGGGTGCGGGCCAAAGATGTAATCTACTGTTTTGTTCATTTGATTGATTGAACACATAAAAACTTGACATAATGAAATTTGACCTAAATTAGAACATTGAAGTTAGAGCAAAAAACAAAAAACAGTAAGAGCAAACACCATTTTTTGAAAAAATATTTTTGGTGGGTATATTTTCTACTTGTGTAAATTAATGTCAAGAGAAAAATTTGTACCTCAATAAAGCAGTATCATAAGAATTACATATAATATTTTTCGCGCAAGTTATATAACTAAAAATTTAAATTCCATCGGTCTTAAATTAAATGTTTTTTTTGGAGAATCTAATTTTTTAAGAGAATGAGTTAATTATTATGAGTATGAGGTTAGAAAGGTCATTTCAATATTTAAATTAGTTAATATAGAAGTCAAAAGGTAAAAATGTCAATTTATTACCATTGGGGTGTCTTTGGTAGAAGTATCAAATTTCAGGGAATGTCATTGTCCCAAAATAGACAAACTTTCTTCTGGGTGTCCTTTTGACAAATTTCAAAGGGTATTACTGTACTTTACTCAAAAAAAAAAAAAAAAAAAAAAAGTATTACCATTCACAAATTTCTTTCATAATGTGTATCTACTGTGTCCTCTGCCCCAATCTAACAAACCAGGTCATTTTTTTAAAATGGTGGGATCAATTTTATAGTATATATATATATATTTTTTTTGATGTACCAATGACATGGTTACTCACCCAATACCTTCTTCTTTTTGTTTTTTATTTTTAATTTTTTGGCAACAATAAGTAGAAAAATTACAAAGAGCCAATCAAGCCCGAACCAACAAAAGAAAGATCCGCCTCAATGGCTTCACGAAGCCAAGGAGGCCAAATAGACCACTTCACTTTCTGTCTTCCATCGGCTAACCTTTTTCTCTTATTTTGTTAAGAAAAAAAGTAAAAAACTCTCTTTAATACTATCAAATTGACATAAAAAATCCTTAATGGATCACACATTTTAAAGGTGGTTGGATGCCTGGGTACATAAACCCTAATTGAATCCCATGAAAATTCTGATTCTCTGCCACAAAGTATTCGTCTTCACACATATAACGTGATCTTCACTTTTATATATACACACTTACACAACTTGATCTCACTGTAATATTAATTTAGGAGTCATAATTCAAATTACAAATTCGTAACAATACATTACGATGCTATTATTAATTTTGTTCATAAATTAAAAGTGTGTATATATTTATTTATCAATTACAGTGTATCTCTGTAACGTTTCGTTATTTTTCTCAATTTGTTTTGCGGTTTCCCTTCCCTTCTCCTTAATTTGTTCTAGGGTTTTTATCCCGTCTCCTTCCTTAATTTCTTCTAGGGTTTTTATTTTTCACCTATACTTTTTTTTAATAGTTTACTTTTAAATTACATTAAGCTGTCCACTCACCCTAATTAATTTGTTCAGGCACTCCATATCATTCATGAAAATCAATCATTATGTTTGTCATTTTTGGCGTGAAAGATTTTCATGAGGTGACCTACCAATATTTCTTGACCCTACAACCACTACACTCAACGTTTATCTGCCACTGCCTTGGCCAAAATAATTGTTCACCCCAGCATGGTCCTACTGTTGGGATTTATATGTCCTGACATAGCAAATTTTTATTTGGATTATAGTGACATATGTTCCTGACGTATCTGAAATATTTATGATTTATATAATTGGTGAATTCAATGTATTATGTTTCGATTCACTATGAAATTGATAGTGTCCCTGTGATTACGAGAAATATTTATATATATGTATGTGATGGCAATCAATGCATGATATATAAATAGTAATTATAAATTGTTCATAGTCGATAATTATGGATGGACTTATAATTAATTAATACTTGAACTGGATCTGCGTTAGGTTCAGATATATTGCGAGAGCCGTCGTATGCAATTGCTCCTTATCATCGTCATGGCATTTGACTCTTAAGTATGAGAAAATTATAAACTCTTTTATTAATTAATAATTACTTTGATTTGTTCGGCGGATTCTTCGGGATCCTTAGACCGACACTTTGGGTAGTTATGTGATTAATAGTTAGAGGGTTATATTTTCAATATTTGCATCATTGCTACTTGTATTTATTTTGTATTGATTATGGTTGATCACAAAGTAAATTCGAAGGCCTTCGTGTGTTTTTAGACAAAATGATTTATTATATATTTATTTATTTAAATTATTATTTTTGTCAAACAAATGTTTTATTGTGATCGAGCCAGAAATAATCAAAGGTACCAAAATAAATATATTAATTAAGTAGTCGGATTGATGACTTTATTTATCCGATAACTAATTATGCATAGAGGGGTCAAAGTGTAATATTGACTTAGAGGTTATTTATTATTTAATTGGAGTTCAATTAATTTATTTTAGTGGAGTAGAAATTAATTTATGAGTTAATTGAATTGGGTCCATGGACCGGGCTAATTATTAATTCATTGTAGCCAATAAAACAATAGACCCAATGGATTCTCACTCATAGCCCAACTTGATATTGGAATCATATTAGATTTGAGACATGTAAATTAGAGATTGAGAAGGATTCGTTGTTTCCTTTTATTTACCTTTATGTTGCCTATAAATATACATGGTCTATGTATATTTTAGTGGGTGATTTTTAGAAGAAGGAAAAAGAAATTTATTTTCTCTCTCTAGAAAATTAGGGTTTATATTCTCATCTAATAGAGGCTCCCACAAGCCTTGTTTTTCAAGGTCATTCATGGAGGCTTATGATTCCTAAAGGCAAAATAATTACCAAGAAGATGGAGATCCAAGGAGAATGCATCTTGTTAAGGGATCTACAATAAGTGAGAACATTCACTTTAGAGGAAAGATTTAAAAATTTACTCAGACATTTGATGTAAGTATTCAATCCATTAATTGAATGATACATTATAGTTTTATTTTTGTATAAAACTTGTCTCTATGTGATGAATCAAGATTTATGAATCAAGATTTATGAATCAAAATTGTTCCAAAAGTTTTTAAAATTTGCACGTTTCCCAACACCTACTTCATCCATTTCTTTTCTAAGATAAGATGAAGTATATTTGTGGATTCCACATCGATATTGCTAATATATATATATATATATATATATATATATATATATAATGTCGGTATAAACAGACGGATCGTAGGTTCAATTATTGAATTGCCAATTCAGCAACTCCCACAACGGCCGGTTCGCCGAAGACTGATCTCTCCTACTTAAAGGCTTGAAATCATGCATATGCCATTGTAGAGACCAATTAAGCAGAAAATGGAAGACTGGTATGACCTAGCTCTCATCATTTTCTCTCTCCTCCTACTCTTGAAGCTCTTCTTAAGAACACAACACAAACACAAAAATCTTCCTCCAAGCCCTCCTGCTCTTCCCATCATTGGCCATCTCCATCTACTTAAAAAGCCTGCACTTTATCAATCTTTTCAAGCACTTTCCGAAAAGTACGGCCCAATCTTACTCCTCCGTTTAGGAACCCGTAAAGTCCTCGTTGTCACCTCCCCGGCAGCTGTCCAGGAATGCTTCACCAAGAACGACATCATCTTCGCGAACCGGCCGCACATGCTGGTCGGAAAACACCTCAACTATAACAACACCACCATCGGTGTAGTCTCCTACGGCGATCGATGGCGCAACCTACGCCGTGTTACAACTCTTGAGGTTTTCTCCACCTCCCGCCTGGTGATGACCTCCGGCATACGACAACATGAGGTGGCATTGTTCGTAAAAAGATGCAGTAGTATTAATAGTAGAATTCATGACGAGTGGACTAGCGTGGAATTGAAATCCAAGTTTTTCGAGCTCCCATTTAATGCCTTGACCATGATCATAGCTAAGAAGCGATTTTACGGAGAAAATGTGGACGACGAAAAGGAAGCGAGCCGGTTCCGGTATCTGATTAGAGAGCACACAGAACTCGGTAAGCCAGAGAATAATGCAGAATTTTTTGGGGTTTTGCAGTGGTTGAGTTATAGAAAGATAGAGAGAAGGATGATTGAAGTAATGAAGGAGATGGACAAGTTCTTCCAAAGCTTGGTTGATCAATGTCGGCGGCATCGAACGTCTTCATCCAATAATGGTGACACGAGAGAAAGCCATGGACTGTCAGACAGCAAAAGCGTGATTGATAATTTGCTGTCTTTGCAAGAAAAGGACCCCGAGTTCTGTACCGACGAAATAATCAAAGGGATTATATTGGTATGCAATTTTTATCTATCTTATATATTTATCAGTACATATATGTGATATGGGTTAAGAATAAGACTACTCATCTATCTGTAGCATGTTGGTCGTGTTAGTTACCTGGTTGACAAAAGGAATAGAGCAGTGATCTCAAAGTTGATCGACATAATTAGAGTGGGATGCTTTTAAAATCTTTGCTATTTTTCATTATCATCATTCTTATTTTAATTCTATATAAATAGGGTCAGTCAGACACGTGGTACTGAAATTATTTTGGATCAATAAAAAATGAAAAAAAAAAATATAAACACTTTGTTTTGGTACAAAAGGAAAAGTAAATCGGTAGTTTGTTTGTTTGTTTATTTTTTTTATTTTTTTTTATTTTTAATATTCTAAAAGAACATATGTCCAATGAAATCATAACATGGTAGCTGTAAGAATCTTGAGTAAGAAATTAAGTATTTTTCTCCTTATAAGAAGTACACACTATTTATGTTGAGAAAAGTCAACACATTAGATTAATAATGCTACATTTCACACAATTCTATTAAATTTTGATTTTACTTTTTTCTTTTGAAATACCTTCTGGGTCTCATAAAAAGTGACATATTCGAAAAACCGTGACTCATAATATCAACTGTGACTCAGGTATTACTTATTGCCGGAACTGAAAGTTCGTCATCAACCATGGAATGGGCAATGTCACTAATGCTCAACCATCCAGATGTCATGGACAAGGTCAGAGCCGAGATAGATACTCATGTTGGACAAGACCGACTTCTAGAGGAAAAAGACTTGAAGAAATTGAATTACCTTCAAAATGTAATCGATGAAACGTTTCGTTTATATCCTCCCGGTCCGCTTCTACTGCCACATGAGTCTGCTGATGACTGTCAAGTAGGCGGCTATGACATACCTCGCGGCACACTGTTATCCGTTAATGCTTGGGCTATTCACAGGGACCCCAAGCTATGGGAAAACCCGACAAAGTTCATGCCTGAGAGGTTTGAAGATGAGAGGGGTGCTGAAGGTTATATTCCATTTGGTCTAGGTAGGCGAGCGTGTCCCGGGGCTGGCCTGGGGAGTCGGATGGTGGGATTGGTGCTTGGGACATTGATTCAGGCATTCGAGTGGAAGCGAGTTGGAGAAGAGGAGGTGGACATGGTTGTGGTTCCAAGCATGCTCATGCCCAAATTGAATCCCTTGGTAGCTGTTTGTAGGCCCCGTGCCACCATGCTTAAGCATCTTTGCTAAATGACTAACCCTCTCTACGAGACTCCTGCTATTACGAGTGTGTAGACCTCCCAATTATTTGTCAAGTTACTCCATGTATGGTGGCTTTGCTAAGTGCCTCTTTTCAAGTGTTGTGTGAATGTTAGTTGATAATATGTGAAGGCTTCCTTTATATATGATAAATAATTTATTGGAGTCGTTTGGTATTTTGAAATGGATATATGACTTTGATTGAATTACAAGAATAAGGAGAAACATGTGCAATTCACTTTTTATTTTGTTATTGATATATATATATATCGAAATAAATAAGATTTGTCTTATGAGGAGTCCCAAGTTAGTTTTCATAACGTGGATGAGGTGACATTTAGTATTGGTTGTTAAGGGACTAGGTGATATTGGAAATTTTCAGCAAAAAATGGTCCCTTTCTTCTTCCTAAAAAATAAAAATGTCAAAAACTTATGTATTTAATGTTTTTGCACATTCGGGGACTTGTAATCTAATAATATATAAGAATCACTAAATCACTGGGCTATCGAAGAATTTGCGAGGGTTAACTTCCCATATGAACGAGTTCATCAATTTCTTGTCAATGAAAAAATATATATATTTTGTGTAAGAAGATTTTCAAACTAGCTATATTTTATCATCTTGGATGGAGTCATTTAAGCAAATTGCAACTAAAAATAAATTTAAACGTTGTATTTGAAGTGAAAGTAATGTTATCAAGTGATACATCTTTGTAATGTTATAAAGTCGAAGAATAATAATTAAATCTGTCAATCTCCTGTCCATAAACAAAGCTCATTACTCTTGTCACGCCATTAAATTTAAAAAAATTTGGTACAATAATACACGCAGAAATTGCCGAGAGAAATAAATTTTTTAATACGCATATGGATGTCAATGACAATATGGAAGAAATAAGTTTATTATATAATTGTAAGTGCTGGCCATAAATAAAGATCTAATAATTGCCAAGATATCTTTAAAATGCATTAAAATATATATATATTTCCTTTATTCCAAAAAAATATTTCTTTTTAAAAGTGTAGTTTTTATTATTATTTTATTATATTAGTAAGGAATGAATTTTTAAATATATTCTTCTATGTTGGATTCTCATCATGATTTTATAAGTTTGACAAGAAGGGTACATTAAATTTTGAATTGAAACAATTACATTTTTTTATAAGAGAGATAAAATATTTAATTATAATGTTGTGGTTGACACATCTTACTCAAAGGTTCAAAATGTGAATTGTTGTGGATACGAATAAATGTTTTAATATGCATGTGGATGTCAATGACAATATGGAAGAAATAAGTTCATTATATAAATTGCAAGTGCTCGGCCTCAATAAACTATATATATATATATATTGATTTGCTTTTGGAAAGAAGATCTAATAATTGCTGCGATCATCTTAAAAATGTATTTAAAATAAATAAAAAATAATATTTTCTTAACCCAAAAAAATATTTCTTTTGAGGGTTAGTTCTTTGGGTTTGCTTGGTTTGTAATTATAGAAACAATTTTCTGTTTTCAGAAAACTGAAAACTGTACAAAAAAATCGGCTTGGTTCAGTTTTCTGAAAACTCAATTATAAAAATGCCTGTTTTTAGAGAACATTCTTGTATAGTTATCTGAAAATTGTTATCTATTTTTTGAATTTCTGATAACTGTTTTTAAAGTTACAAACCAAGTATGCCCGGGATTTGCTTGATTTGTAACTATGGAAACAATTTTTTGTTATCGAAAAATTGAAAAACAGAAAACTGTATAAAAAATTCTGCTTGGTTCAGTTTTTTTAAAACTGTTTTGTGGAAACTCAATTATAAAAATGTCTGTTATAGAATAATCTTTTATAATTTTTTGAAAACTGTTTTTTGAGTTTTTGAGAACTATTTTCAGAATTATAAACCAAACATGTCCATAATTTTTTAAGAGTATAATTTTTATTATTATCTTATTACACTAGTAGTTTTTATTATTATTCATACGTGGATCCACATGATGCAAGAATGGTAGATTATGAACATTAAAAAATTAGTACATTGAATTTTGAACCGGAAAAATCAAAGAATGGCGGACACGGGAATATTTAATAATAATATGTGGTTGACCACCTTACTTAAAGGTAAAACTTTTGTTCAAAATGTGAATTGTTGTACTCTACTGTATAAATTATATTTTTGATGCAACTTATTCCGATTAACTTTCTCTCTCTAACCTTTCTCTCTTCAACAACCGCTTCTTTCCCTCCATTTTTCTCTCTGCTCCCTTCCATGGGAGCGGGGAGGTGCCAGTTTTGTCTCTTACAATTTCAATAAATTCGGTGTCTATTAATAAGTTCGCTCTGTGGGTCTTTTTCATGTCGTTTTTGCTTTTGTCCGATTAGATCTGCTCATGTTTGACTTGTTTCCGCCTAGTATGGATGGTTCTGCTGTTTTCTCTCTGGCTAGATCTCTGATCTATGTCGGTTTTAATTGTCTCCGACTTGATTTGATTTTTTCTACTTGATTTGATCTTGTGCAGGTTTGGATGGTTTTTCCTTGTTGGAGGTGCCTTGTGAATGTAATTTTGGAGCTATTGTCTCAATAATGGCCAGACCTTTAGTCTTTCCTGTTGCTACTCTTCTCCCTTGATGGTTTCGTTCTTGAACTTTGATTCTTGTTCTTAACAAATTTAAAGCTTGTTATTCATAAAGTGGATGAGGTGACATTTAGTATTGGTTGTTTTTAGCCCAAAAAATGGTCCCTCTTCTTCCTAAGAAAATAAAAATATAAAAAACTTAGGCTCCGTTTGTTTGGATATAAAATATTTTTTTATTTTCTGGTGTTGGGTTGTCGTAAAATATTTTCGAAGAAAAAAATATTAAAATTTAACAAAAATAACTTATCTATCAATTTTCGACAAGTTATTTTATATGTTCTACCTGATGACTCAACTTTAACCTCAACGTAAATTTTTGTCAAATACCGAAAAAATAAAAATAAAATAATATTTTCTAAAAAAAATATTTTACGTTTGTTCCAACGGAGCCTTAATGTTTTTGCACGCTTGGGGTCTTACAATCTAATAGTATTGCAATCTAAAAATATCTCCTCTGCTTCTTAAAGTAAATAGTGGGAATTAAGCTTCCATATGGGCAAATGAATTAATCAGTTTCTTAACAATGAAAATATATATATATTTTGCACAAAAAGATTTTCAAACAAGCTATATTTTATCATCTTGGATGGAGTCATTTAAGCAAATTACAATTAAAAATAAATTTAAACGTTGCATTTGAAGTGAAAGTGATGTTATCAAGAGAGACGGCGTTGTAATGTGGAATGAGTAATAATTAAATCTGTCAATCTCCTGTCAATAAACAAAGCTCATCACTCTTGTCATGATACATAACCATTAAATTAATGTTTTTTGGGTACAATAATACACGCAGAATTTGCCGAGAGAAATAAATTTTTTTATATGCATGTGGATGTCAATGACAATGTGGAAGAAATAAGTTTATTATATAATTGTAAGTGCCCGACATCTATAAACGAACATTAATATTGATTTGCTTTTGGAAAGAAGATCTAATAATTGCCACGGTATCTTAAAAATGCATAAAAATATATATATATATTCCCTTTATTCAAAAAAAAATATTTCTTTTTAAAAATTTAGTTTTTTTAAGAGTGCAGTTTTTATTATTATTTTTATTATATTAGTAAATTTTTAAATAAATTCTATGTTTGGATTCTCATGATTTTATAAGTTAGGACAAGAAGGGTAGATTAGGAACATTAAAAAATTAGTCCATTAAATTTTGAATTAAAACAATGACATTTTTTATAAGAGAGGTAGGGTTAGCAATTTGTGTTTGCGAGTCGTAATCGTATTGTGTTAATTTAATATTATTAGACTAAGCATAAGGGTGGCAATTCGTGTTCATGGGTTATAATCATGTCGTATCGATGTAAGGATATTATGCTCATCAGGTAAATCCAAATTCGACCTATTTAATAATCGCATCAGAAACTCTCAACACTAACCAGACCTATTCATTAAACATGTTAACGTTAACATGTTTATCAAAATGAGAGATTTAATATTTAATCAAATAATAAATATTATAAAAAAAAAATTGTCACAATTAACCTAAATATGTAGTCAAGATTTATGTTGAAATGACTTAACTGCTCATACAGGTAACATATTACACATGTCATATTCAGGATTATGACATATTGAGTTAAACGGGTTACACGGGTTGATCCCCTCAATCCTAATTCAACACAGTTAAGTAAACGAGCTATTCGTATCAACCTTTTTAAGGTCAATCCAAACTCGTTTATCTTATGTCGTGTAGGCGGATCGTAATTTGTCACCCCTAACATTCGTGATATTAGGGTCACATTCAAAGAGAGAGTTTATGAAATAAGGTAATGTAAATTGAAATCTGAAATTTGTATGGTATAAATTTGAACCAAAAATATTGTAAAAGTTTACATAGAACGTATATTACTGTAAGCAAGCCTTGGAAGGAAGAATTAAAACCTAGTTTGCATAGTTCTTCTTAACGGATACTGCTCTCACGCTCTCAACGTATTCTTCTTCCCATTTCCACAGTGTGATTTAGATTTTACCACTTTTTCTCTCCGGCTTCTGGATTCGTAAAAGGCAGAGAAATGCGCCAAGGAGGTTGGAAGTAAGGAATTACACTGTCGCATAGCAAGAAAATTCCCAGATACTGAGTGTTTTCCAATCTTCTAGTCTCAAAATCATAACAAAACACCCTGCTTCCATGCTGAATATACACAAGTTTTGAACTGCGAGGATGAAACACCATCAAACAAGGATTTATCTTAACATATTAAATAGTTAAAGATGCCCGACTTCTCGTAACTTACCTCCTCCTTCAAGATCCTTTCACAACTTGGTATACTGTGAAATAAACTATAAGTAGAAAGCTTCTTTTTGAGATCCCACACTCCAAAAATCAATTTGTCATTCACAGCATTCCGGAGATAACCATCCGGTGACCCGCCCATGATATAATGCAAAAATCCCACCCTCTTAATGAGGAGGAGGCAACTTTATCACCCAGAGACGATTTTCATTTTCCCTGGTGAAATGACCACTAACATACCAATAGAAGATCCCATTTACTGATTGACAATCATATGTATGCTCAACTGAAA